AAAGTCAGCCTTCAACTAATACACAGACCCTTCTCCCTCGCTGAGCTCAGGCAAATTAAAGCTGCCCTTGGGAACTATTCAGACAATCCAAACAAATATATAGATGCTTTCCAACACCTTACTTAAGCATATGAACTGACCTGGAAAGATGTGATGCTAGTTCTAGGACAAACTTTGTCAGACATTGAACAGGAAAAAGTAACTAAGCAGGTCAGAAAACTTGCTAACAATTTACATCTGTCTGACAACAAATACCCTATTGGAGAAACAGCAGTAACACCCATGGACCCTGAATGGAATTATAATAGCAATTGCCAAAAGTGGGAGAGAAGCCATTTCTCACTCTGTATTAAGGCGGGACTCAAGGCCTGCTATCAAAAGGCCATTAATTATTCTAATGTATCTGCCATTAGCCAGGGCCTGGATGACAATCCCATTATTACTATATGGACCAATGATAATAAACCTACTAACTAAACTTACCTCTTCTAGAATAGAGGCTTTAAAGCTACAAATGATCATCATGAACAGTTATTGACTTCTAGAACCCCAAGCTCCAGACATCTATCATGGGCCAATGGATGGACCCTTCCCTCTGCCTCCTCTGATCAATAGTTAGCAAGCAGAAGGAACCCAAAGAAGTCTCAACACCCACTTACAGCAGGAAGCAGACAGAACGGTCGTCACCCCAAAGTCCCCAAAGATTTGGGTTTCTAATGCTTGCAGGAGGTAAATTAAGGTAGAAGTTAAAAAATGGAGGAGAAGGAGAAGGGGTGGGAGGAGATCCATGATGCCTACAGAAAAAGCTCATAAAAAGCTTTAACTGCCTCCAGCCACATATCTGTTGTTTATTTTTTTAATATTTTTTTATTGGAGAATTAGGGAGGGGAACATTGTTGGGGAATTGGGGAAGGGGAACATTGTGTTCTTCCAGGACCCATCAGCTCCAAGTCAAGTTGTCCTTCAATCTTAGTTGTGAAAGGGCGCAAGCTCAGCTCTAAGTCTAGTTGTCACTTTCAATCTCGTTGCAGGGGGCATAGTCCACCATACCATGCGGGATTCGAACCAGCAACCTGTGGCACACTGAGCCACCCAGCTGCCCATCAGCAGCTCGTGGCTGCTCAGCTCAAGGTGCCGTGTTCAATCTTTGTTGCAGGGGGAGGGAGGGTGCAGTCCACCATCCTATACAGGTGTTGAACCAGCAACCTTGCTGCTAAGAGCATACACTCTCACCAGCTCAGTGGCAGCTCAGCTCGGGCGCAGCTCACTGGCCCATGTGGGAATCAAACTGGGGACCCTGTTGCTCACAGCTCACGCTCTTAAAAAAATTAATCCACTTGGCCGACCCCACCTATCTGTTTTTACAACAACAGATAACAAGAGGTGGTCTGGAGCAAGATAAGGATGTGAGTCAACAGACTCAGCATGCACCGCCTTTTCCTGCCAAATCAATATGTAACTCCCTCACCCCACGCAGAAAACTATAAGTCTTTGGGACAAGGGGCTAGCCTCTCTCTCTCTCTCTGTCTCTCTTTGTCTCTGTCTCTGTCTCTCTACCCCACCTTAGCTAGGCCCATTCTCTTTCCTGAGAACGTATCACTAATAAACCCTGATGCATACTAAACAGCTTGCTGACCTTTGATTTGTCACTGCGTCAGCTAGAAGAACCGAGACTCCCATAAAAGTTGCAGCACTGAGACTGTCCATAGCAGTGCCCTGTATCACAGATGTAGCTTTGGTTGTTGTTGGTACCACTCAAGTTTCTTTACCCTGCGGGGGTTCAGCCCTGGCTGACAGAGGGCTGGGCAGCGCCTGGAGGAGCAGGAGCGCCATGCCGACCAGGCGCCTTCTCCTCTCCATCCCGCTCCTGCTCCTGTTCCTCCTCTCTCTCCTCCTTTTCCTTCTTCTTTCTTTCTTCTCAAAGCCATTTTAAAGGGAAATTCAAATCAAAATTACTAGAAGTTACCATTTCACATCTACTAGAATGATAATTTTTTAAATAGAAAAAATATCGGTAAGGGTGTGGAGAAATTGCAACCCTCATACTTTACTATCGGGAATGTAAAATGCAGTGGTTACTGTAGAAAACTGTTCCTCAAAAAGTTAAACATAAAATTACTATGTGAACAAGCAATTCTACTCCTGGTTATACACCCCAGAGTTGAAACAATCAGAGTAGTAGTATTCACCAGAGTCAAACAGTGGAAACATCACAAATGTCCATCAGTTGATGAATGGATAAAGTAAATGTATATCCATGTAATGAAATATTATTTCTTGTAAGAAATGAAGTACTGACACATGATACAACATGGATGAGTCTTGAAAACATTATAAGTGAAAGAAGCCAAACATGAAGTACCACATATTATATAATATATGAAAATTCCAAAATAGGTAAATACATTGAGTCTGACAGCAGATTCATGGTTTCTAGGGCCTAGGAGAAGGGTGGGATGAGCAGTTGCCTAATAGGTATGGGGTTTTCTTTTGGGGTGATGAAAATATTCTGGTGATGGTTACACAACATCTTGAATGTACTAAACGCCACAGAACTTACAATGGTTAAAATGGTAAATTTTATGTTATGTGTATTCTACCACACATATGAAAAAGGAAAGTAAAAACATTTGCGTGAGGTGTGTGTGTCCAGAGAACAGGAGGAACTGTCCACACCCCTAGTGCTGACCACTCTTATCTGTTTCATTATTTCTGTTGCTGGAATGATACTTGCCCTGAGCATCTTCACTTCGTAGTGTGATTCTCCTTTCATACTGCTTGTTCAAAGTGGAGACAGGTCTGGTGCAACTAAATCTAAAACCCTTGATCTATTTGTCCCTGAAACAACTCATTCCCTTCTCACTGATGATAAAAAAAACCCCACAACTGGGCCTGATCCTCAAGTGTCTTCCTTGATGATAAAGCCACAAAGATATATGTGATAAGTGCTCAGCTACAGAAAAAGATGTCCAAAGGGCCATCAAGATGTAATGGGGTGACTCCCTGAAGTCATCAGGTTCAGGGATGTTTTGGGGGGAGTGACATTTAAACTGAAAGCTGAAAAATGAATAGAATGCATGTGACGAGATCAGGGAGACAGACAAGAACCATCATGCATGACCCCTGGAACATGTGGATGTGGCGTGGGGTGGGGAGGGTGGGCACTGACACTAAAGTTGAAGAACAGAAAGTGGGGAGAGAGTGGTGAGGCCTACAGCTGTGGGACATGGGGGTTGAGCCATGGGAGGCATTTAGGGTTGTAATAAGAAGCTATAATAAGTTGAAGGTAGTGGAGAGCCATGAAAGGTATACAGGACACTTGGCATCCAAACCATGCACCCAGGGGCTCCCTGTCTGCAGAGACTGGGCAACTTCAAATTGGCTTTCCCAGATGTTCTTGCAGCTGGGGTTCTGGATGCATTTGAAGCTCTGGGCAACACAACCATGGAGTCACCAGGTGTTTCCACAGCAGCAATCATGAGTTCAGTCAATAGCTTTGATGTGCTGAGAGGCGGCAGCAGAAGTAAAGTCCAGATCCCTGAGTTACATCAACAGTGCTGGTCTGGGCATCACAGACAAGAGCGTGTTTCTCCAGCCACTCCTATGACAAGTAGGCTCTTAATCCACTGTTTTACTAGGAGGATCCAACCAGGGCTGGGGTGGGGCCAAACCATCCATTCTCTGGTCACCAAAAGTCTCTTTCCAGGGAGAGAGGTCACTTACTAAAATCCTGATGATGTGATTGGATCAAATGATTTATACAGCCTCCTCTTCAGCCAGCAGAGAAGGCTCTTCTGGCCCTGGGGAGCCCCAGCCCCTCCTACATACCTGACATTCTTTCTATATACCTGAAACCACCACATTCTTGCCTGTAACCTGGGAGTGGGGCTCCCTGAGGCCAGTAGGAAATAACACCAGATGCTGTAATGAGGGATATTCAGTCAATAAATTCCTGGGGTAAAGAGGGTGCCAGTGGGAAAAGGGGGTGAAAGCATAAATGCCACTGTCCTTCTGGGTTTCCCATCCAGGAGCCCAGCTGTGCCAGCCCTGACAAGGAGCCCTGGGACGTCAACCTGGTTCTTGTTCAGTGATGTCTGTGAGCAGAGCCTGTCTGTCCTCCCCAGAGGGGCTGGGCCAGGGGGTTTGGAGGCTCCTGGACTGGGATTCAGGAGCCCTGGGTTCTATTTCAGCCAGTGTCATTGACCAGAAAGACCTAGGGTCCGTGTCTTGCTTGGACCCAGGTAGCAGGATGAGAAAATAAAACAAATAGCTGTTTAAAGTCAGACTCTTACACTTACTGCCAACAGAGCCAGAAACTTCTTGAGCCCTAAGTAGAAGCAGAGTCCCAACAGTTACTGACGGCTTCAACCAAGACAGGCCCGGTCCTGCCTCACAGGTACAGGCTCTCATGCAGAAGACAGAGCAGTCCCCAGACAGTGAGGCCTCAGGAAAGGAGTCTCTGAGGGAACTGGTGGTGAGATTGGCCAGGACTGTGTGCAAAGGCTTCTTTGGTGCTTTGAGAAGGGGCTGAGGAAGGATGCAAAACCCAGCTTGTCTCATCTCAAAGCCTCAATGCTTTTGAGTTAGTGGCTGTCAGTGTCCACAGATCTCAGGACCAGCCACTGCCCTTCCATCAACACAGCATCCCAGACCCCCAGCCATGCTCTGAACTCCCTCCACTTTCCTGCCTTTTAGTGACTCAGCTCTAGGCAGGAGCACAACCGCAACCCTGCCCTGGGGGTTGTGCTTTCTCCTTCCCGCTGCTGACACCCAGATTTTGGCAGAGGCGATCAAACCTAGGTCCCAGCCTGCCTCGAGCCATCCCAGGAAGTGTCTGCAGCCAAAGCAATGAGACATGAAGCCCTTCTCATAAAACAACAGGAAGACTGGCAAACAAGATTCAGCAGCTAAGTTTGTAGCATTTGCCTAGAGCCTTTACCATTTTTTTTTTTTTACCAATAGGCGGCTACTCACTGGGAAAAAAAAAATTACATCATTACATGGCTTCCAACATCTTCAAAGGAAAGTTTCAGTAAGCAACCTTTGACAAGATTTTGTGCAGTACACACAAATCAATTTTCTAATCTAGTTGTTTGTTTTGTTTTTTAATCATATAGCTTTTGTCCAACTCAAGAGGTGGTATAACCTACTAAATTGTTAAATCCACAGTTTGGAAAGCACTTCTCTACTCTGTGCTGCAGAAAATGGAGGCCAGAAAACAGGAGGAAATGTGGGGCTGGGAGGGGAGCGTGCTGTACCTCTGCCCCATGGGAGAGAAAAAGGCTCTGGTAATTGCAGATATTTCTGCTATAATATCTGGTCTCCTACTCCTGTCTCCTACTCCTGTCTACCTTCCTCACAGCAGACAGATACAGGGATGTTTGTAGACACAAATCTGAACACTTTCTTACCCTGCTCAGGATCCGGCCATAGTGCCCAGTGCACTGAGCATAAAGTCCTGAGTCCTCCCTGAGGCTCACAAGGCACTGACCCTGCCCCTGCTCTCCAGCACCTCTCCCTGCCCGGCCGCACACCCTCGAGGGGCTCAGCCTTCCTGAAACAGTCACAGTTCTGGCTCATTCTTTAAATCTTAGCTCAGATACCCCGTCTTCCCAGAAGCCCTCCATGAATTCCCAAGATGAGTGATGATGCCACCTACCCCGGGCTCTCTCAGCCCATGGGTTTCCCCAACTCAAGCCCAAGCCCTCTGAGCCATCATGGTCTTGGGATGGTCTGTGACCCCCAACAATGGGACACTGTTACCAAATCACCTCCCAAAATTCAGAACCATGTGCCTGATTCACTAGTTAGCCGAAACACTGAGACTCGGGTGCTTGGAGATAGAGAAAGTTTTATTCAATTTGACCAAAGTGAGAGGGTGGGAAAGCAAGATCTGTCAAACCTGTCTTCCCCAAAGAGTAAAAGTAGAAAATGCTTATGCAGCTAGGGGGTAGGGGAGGGGGAATTTCAGGGAACCAAGGAGAAAGTCTATGTTTCTTCAGTCACAGGTAATATTTTGTGCAGCCAGACTTCCGGACATCAAAAGCTGGTTGTGACTTTCTTTGAGAAATTTATCCTTCTGCAAAACAACCTCATAACTTCTTGTCGCCCTGGAGTTAACTCCTCCTGCTTGACAAAGAAACAGGACATCAGCAAAATAAATTGTACTGTGAGAACAAGGGGTGCTGGTTTGTAAAACCAAGATTCTGCAAAATATCTCATAATTGTGCACCAGTGAGGTTATCTTTAAAGCAAAAAGCAGAAACTAGACATCTTGTGACTATCGCCATTGTTTAAGTTATCATTGTTTTGTGTTTAACAACCCATATTTTTCTATTCTCTCAAGCAAAGTATACCTTTTTTTAAAAATTTTATTGGGTAACAGTGTTTTTTCCAGGACCAATGAGCTCCAAGTCAAGTTGTCCCTCAATCTTAGTTGTGGAGGGTGCAGCTCAGCTCCAAGTCCTGTTGCTGTTTTCAATCTTAGTAGCTGGGGAGGGTGGAGGGGTTCAGCCCACCATCCCATTGCAGGAGTCGAACTGGCAACCTTGTTGTTAAGAGCACGTGCTCTAGCCAACTGAGACATTCAGCTGCCCATGGGCAGCACAGCGCAATTTGTTGTCTTCAATCTAGTTGCAGAGGTCACAGCTCACTGACCCATGTGGGAATCAAAGTGGCAACCCTGAGCAACTGAGCCACCTGGCCACCCCAAATGGTACTTTTAAACATTTCTCCTGGAACTTGCTTTACAGGCAGGCCTTCAGGACTTGACTACCATATTTTATCATCTTTGACTATAAGTGACTAACGTAATCTAAGGGTAAAATTTGGGAATCAACAACACAGTTAGACTTAGCTAGTTTGCAGTTCGATCTGCCCTGACATTCAGCTGTTTTCTCTTTGTTTCTCCCCTCACTGATTGACTTAAGAACTCTGTTTTGGGGCCGGCTGAGTGGCACGTTGGTTAAGAACTGGCTTGGGATGCCAGAGGGCCCCAGTTCGGATCCCACATATGAGGGCCAGTGACACGGC